TTGGTCTTTTTCGCTCTGTGGTTATACAGCGGAAGGAAACGCGGATGCGGTGCTGCTGCTGCTGCTGCTGCTGCTGCTGCTGATGCTGATGCTGGTCGCAGTGCTGCTGCTGCTGCTGCTGCTGCTGGTTGTGTGGGGTGTATGCACACAGCGACTTACATCGGCAGGGACGAGGTCATCATCGCCTGGCTGCTGCTGCTGCTGCTGCTGCTGTTGCTGCTGCTGCTGCTGCTGCAGCAACTGCTGCTGCAGCGGAGAGTGTTCTAAGGTCAAGGAGTTCAACTGGCTCTCCAAATTCAGCATTGCATCCTCCTGCACATAAACCCTAAACCCTAAACCCTAAACCCTAAACTGAAGAGTTTACGTGGAGACCCTCTAAACCCTAATGGTTCTGCTGTGGGGGTTTAGAGCGAGGGTTTAGTACAGTCAGGGTTTAGGGTTTAGGGACAGGGTTTATAGCTAGGGTTTAGAGCTAGGGTTTAGAGCTAGGGTTTAGGGTTTTGAGCTAGGATTCAGGGTTTAGAGCTAGGGTTTAGGGTTTAGAGCTAGGGTTTAGGGTCTAGGATCTAGCTAGGGTTTAGGGTTTCGAGCTAGGGTTTAGGGTTTAGGGTTAAGCTAGGGTTTAGGTTTTAGGGTTTAGCTAGGGTTTAGGGTTTCGAGCTAGGGTTTAGGGTTTAGGGTTTAGGGTTTTACCTTGTAGAAGGGTTCAGCATCTGGCCGGAGGAGACGCCAGGCCTTCATTGCTTTTCTGAGGTGTCTATCGAGTTGCTGCTGCTGCTGCGGCGATAGTTTTTTTTTTTCTCCTTTTGCTGCTGCTGCTGCTGCTGCTGTTGCAGTATCTGCTGCTGCTCCTGCTGTACCTGTTGATGGGTCCATTGCTGGTGCTGCTGCTGCTGCATCTGCTGCTGCTGCTGCTGCTGCTGCTGCTGCTGCGCCCCCAAAGAGAGCTGCTTTCTGTTCGTCAGTAAAGAGGGTTGATAGGGCTTGCTGCTGCTGCAGCAGCTCGCGCGTAAACTCTTCTCTTTCTACACGCAGGGGTTCTCCGTCTCCTGCTGCTGCTGCTGCTGCTGCTGCTTTTGCTGCTGCAGCAGCAGCAGCAGCAACATTAGGTATGTCATCCAGGTGCTTGTATCGACGCAGGTCTTGCTGCTGCAGCTTCTTCGCTAGGTGGCTGCGGTGTATATAACGACACAAATTCAGAGACCAATACAACCTGCTGCTGCTGCTGCTGCTGCTGCTGCTGCTGCTGCTGCTGAGGATGCTGCAGCAGGAACTGCTGCTGCTGCTGCTGCTGTTGTTGCTGCTGCTGTAGGCGATGGCGCTGTGTCCAGCACTGGCGGTAGCACTACCCATTCTGCTGCTGCTGCTGCTGCTGTTGTTGCTGCTGCTGCTGCTGCTGCTGTCAAGGGGGAGGGAGCTACGGCGCCAGTAGCCGTTGCTGCTGTCACTGCATCTGCTGCTGCTCCTGCTGCTGTTGCAGCAGCAGCAGCAGCAGCTGCTGCTGCTGCTGCTGCTGGAACAGTCTGCCCCGAGGGCAGCATTTTGGATGGAGCAGCATGACGACCAGCTGCCTACGTGCTGCTGCTGCTGCTGCTGCTGCTGCTGCTGCTGCTGCTGCTGCAGAGCTCGAGGCCCTGGTAGGCGGTGGCGCAGCGGGAGCCGCCGCAGCTGCAGCATCCTGCTGCTGCTGCTGCTGCTGCTGCTGCGGTGTATATACACCCCACAGCAGCAGTTGCTGCAGCCTTGGGGTGTATGGGCAGATGGCTAGGTGATACTGCTGCTGCAGCAGCAGCAGCAGCATCGGCAGCGAGGACACTCGGTACTGCATGCAGTATAAAAGCAGCTGCACTGT